CCTCCTTTGAAAACCCTTTTCTCTTTCTTTTACTTCTTGATTAATTTTTTTTAGAGAAAAATCACTTGTCTTTACTTATTTTATTAACCAAACCAATAAGATAAAAGGGAAGAATTAACAACTAATTATGCTAATTATTTTTTTTTATTCCTTTTTTCCCCCGCTCCAGCGTTTACATGTGTTTCCGATCAGCTATGATGCTCATTTATAGCTTTTTTATATTAGACACTTTTAACTTTTAAGAATGCCTGTCTACTTCACCATTAACAAATTATGGTAGTGTAAATTTAAATGGTGTAAAATAGTCCACGACAAAAAAAAAAAAAAAAAAAACACCAAAAAAAAAAAAAAAAAAAAAAAAAAAAAAAAAAACCCCAGTCGACAACAAAATGTACCTGTAAAGAGAATGATCCTTAATATAGGTCTCACAATAACCTGGATGGTAACCATAATCTAACAATAGGGGCCTTGACGGAATAAGATTCTTTTTTTTTTAAGAAAAGAAAATTAATTAATGTATGTTTAATATTTTGAGGTGTAAAGATAATTAGTTAATAATTCTAATAATAGAGGCCTTGATTTAAGGGAGGCCTTAGGCAGTTGCCTTAACAGCCTCACCCTTGAGCCGGCATTGTATATATTTAGCCCATATGCAGGTTCCAACTTTTTGGTCAGGCAAGGTCTAATTCCCCATTGTATCAAGAGTTTGATACAGGACCTTAGCCACATACATCAAAATTAAAAAAATAAAAATAAAAAATCAGGAAGATTAATAAAAAGCAATGGTGGGAACAACAAAGCTAGGCTTGGTTTTTTTGATTGGTTTTGTGGTGCTAATTCCAAGCCTGCAGGCCAATATCGGCGACTTCGACGAGTCATGGCAGCAGCGAGCTGAAGAAGCCCACAAGGCCGCTCTCGAGGCCTATGACCCTAACCCTGAAGAAGTTACAGACAGCTTCAACGAGGAAGTCGACAAGTTCGTAAATTCCAACTCCTTTAATTTTCACAATCTTTTTGCGATGATCTGCTCATTTTTTATTTTTAGAACAATGCTAGGTGATACTAATGGTACTGAACACCATAAACTAATAAAATATTAATATCATAATAAAGAGTCATCTTCTATTAATTCTGTGGGGCTAGAAACTAACAATCTTTAAATGATGATAAACTTATTTTCATTTTTAAAATAATGACAGAACACTATGCACTAATAAAGCGTGCGTCCCACAACATAAAATCTACATATAATGCGCCCTTTATTAGATGTGGTGTTTAATATATGCAATTCTCAAACATTTTTCTAATATTGATACAAGCACTATTGTAGAGTTTGGGTTACATTTTTTAACTTGTTGATTATTCCTCCATTTTGCATTTCTTTTCCATCACTAATTGATTACAAATACTTTTATGCTTGGCTGCAGGGTGATAGACGGGTCGAACAGCACTAGGAGGGAGCTAAGGAGGTACTCAGGACCCTGCGCGGCCACAAACCCAATCGACAGGTGCTGGCGGTGCCGCAGCAACTGGGCCAGCAACCGAAAGCGCCTCGCTAGATGTGTCCTCGGCTTCGGCCGGAAGACCACCGGAGGGAGGTCGGGGCGGTACTACGTCGTCACCGACCCTTCGGACAACGACGTGCAGAACCCTAGGCCGGGGACTCTGCGGCACGCGGTGATCCAGAAGCAGCCGCTGTGGATCATTTTCGCCCACAGCATGATCATCAGGCTGTCGCAGGAGCTGCTGATCACCAGCCACAAGACCATCGACGCCCGCGGGGCTAACATCCACATTGCGAATGGCGCCGGCATTACCATTCAGTTCGCCCGGAATGTCATCATCCATGGGCTCCACATTCATGACATTGTGGCCAGCGGAGGTGGCATGATTAGGGACTCGGTGGATCACTTTGGGTTTAGGACGCCTGCTGATGGAGATGGGATTTCAATCTTTGGTTCCACCAACATTTGGTTGGACCACATTTCCATGTCCAATTGCCAGGACGGCCTCATCGACGCCATTCAAGGCTCTACTGCCATCACCATTTCCAATTGCCACTTTACCCACCACAACGATGTAAGTACTAGCTAATTACCTTTAAAACAAAAAAAAAAACAAAAAAAATCCTGGAAGCATTATCGTTACTATATATTTTTTAGTAGGGACATTATGAATCTTTAATTAGAGATATTTTTATTCATGGAAATGTTATATTTTTTAATTGTAGGCATAATTATAATTGGGGCTCAATGATGTATTCTAATTATCAATTGTGACGCGATTAAATATATATATATATATACACACATATAGTGGGGCAGAACCGAAACTTTTACTAAAACTTTTATTAAAAAAAAAAAAATAGAGCCAAAAATTAAAAATTGAGTGGGATACCCTCAGTTTAACATCACTCAACTCTACCATTGATCACAACTAATAAAATAATTTATAGATGTTAAACACCACCGTTGCCTCTTAGTATTGCTTTACCTTAAAAGTAGTATATTCATGCCCCGTCATTTAGTATTTGAATCGTTGGACAAAAAATGACACTTTATACGTATACGTAAATATGGCCCTATTTTTTTGTTTTCTTATTTTTAGGAACGGGCCTAATTATACAATAATATTGCATGTAGGTGATGCTATTTGGTGCAAGCGACAGCTTTGAAGGGGACAAGATTATGCAAGTGACTGTAGCGTTCAACCACTTCGGAAGAGGACTGGTGCAGAGGATGCCAAGATGCAGATGGGGTTTCTTCCATGTCGTCAACAACGACTACACTCACTGGCTAATGTACGCCATTGGTGGAAGCTCACACCCCACCATTATTAGCCAGGGCAACCGCTTCATTGCCCCTCCCAACAATGCTGCTAAGCAGGTCCTTATATATACTATAAACTATATCTATATATATAGATATATTACATATAATATATTAGCTGTGTTTAGAATTAATCTCGTTTTTATTTCATATTTTTTGAGAAAGAAAAAATAAAAACGTTTCTAAAACGGCGTTTGGCGCAATAAAGATAAAAAATGAAAATGAAAACGATTTTTTAGTTTAGTATAAAATTAGAGATATGAAAAACGACTTTTAATCGTTTTTCATTTTTTGTTTTCATTTTCTCCTCTCTCGAAGAGAGAGAGAGAGAGACATTAATGAGTTTTTCTATACTGAAAATAATCTCTTGATAAAACTACCAAACGCATTTTTAAAAATGATTTCTGTCTGAGATTGAAAACATTTTTATTTTCATTTTCATACAAAAAATAAAATCATTTTAGAACGAGTTCTAAACGCGCCCAATGTGTTTATGTATTTGTGTATGGTTGTGTCTGTATAGGTAACGAAGAGAGATTATGCGGCCGAGTGGGAGTGGAAGAGATGGACATGGAGGTCAGAGGGAGATCTAATGATGAACGGTGCCTTCTTTGTTCAGTCAGGAAATCGAAGCAAGAAGAGGCCATTTACCAGGCACGACATGATCAAGGCCAAGCCTGGGACGTTTGTCACTAGGCTTACACGCTTTGCCGGTGCCCTTAACTGTTATGCTGGCAAGAAATGCTAGAACATAACTAACATTTAATTGATTAAAAGCTAGGTGGAGAAAGGTGCATGCTTCTAAGGGCTTTTCTTGGGTATGTACTGAAGGAGGATGGGAAGGATTGAGCAAGATTTATTTTTTATTTTTATTTATTTTTATTCTTTTTCTCTTAATGTCTGCGTTTGTTTTGTATTTCATTCATTAGTTGAGAATGAAGAGGAAAAATGAGCAACATTTGGATTTTGGTATGTTTTAAGAGGAGGTTTTGACAGACTGTTGAATATTAATTCGTTTTTACTATTCCGTAAGAATACAAAATCAGCAAAATCGTGACTTGTTAAAAGTATGCTAGAGATATCAGACGTGCTAACATATTGGGCACCTAAAGCACCTGTTTTCCCGTGAAGTCTCTCAGGTGGAGGCCAAAATGCAAGAATCAAACCGTCAAGGTTTAATGTTGTCACTACTAATTAGGACCCAAGATTTGTTTCAAGCATAGTTTGTTAACAGCTTTACGATACTTCAATTTCGCTCTGTTGGTATCACATCCAGATCCCCTATCAAACAAATTTCCAACGTTTTTTTCTTTTTTCTTTCTTCTTCTTCTTCTGTTAGACATTACAGATTTAGTTTACCAACGAACGTGAATAAAGCTGCACAGGAGAATTATCCAAAAATTTCAAGGGTGCTAAAAACAAAGAGAAAAAGTGGAACGCCACTTGGCGGTAAAAACATGGTGTATCACCATGGTCATGACCATAAGTGAACCTCACTTTATGGTCGATAGGTTTTATGTGCGTTCTACTTTTGCTTATGATCGATCTATCCGTAGATTTTAAGTATGTTTATCAGATCGCCAATTCAATATCGCATAGCGAAACACATTCTCATTATCTGTCTCATTTTTATTCTGAATTCGTTCTGCAACAGTAGCTTCGTAGCAATATAATCCCACTGCATGTTTGATTAGAATCTTATACACGATTTGGCCGCCGTCTACCTTTCATTTCTTCAAGCCTATCCCCAAAAACGACAGCAGAAGCACAAGCTATCTTTCATAAAACTTACTTAAGCGACAATTGAAAATGCGGAAGAAAGAGACCCAATCGCCTTAATTAGCTAACCAATCTTTAGTACTCACCGAAAAATTGTTCATAAACAGTAATACATCATCAAAAATCTAACCCCAAAAAAGAAAACCCTAGAGATGAGAGACGGTGAGATGACACTTGAACAAAAAGCTCGAGGAATTTGCAAAAATCTAACCCCAAAAAAGAAAACCCTAGAGATGAGAGACGGTGAGAGATGACACTTGAACAAAAAGCTCGAGGAATTTCCTTTCTGCTATGATTCTATTCGCTATCCGATTCATTCCCCGAGTCCATACTCTGATTGGTTGTGGGTTTCTTGTAACCACTAATTTCCTCCTTGTAGCGTTTTTTATCTTGTTGAGCCTTAGCTTCATAGGGCTCTTTCTCCTCCACTGCGCAAAGAGAAAAGGGCCAAAAAAAAAAAAAAGGGAAAAAAAATCAGTCTTGCGAGTTGTGATGTGACAACCAAACAATGTAAGCTGTAATTGACAAAAAGATTGCGGCAATCTTCTCCACTATTGGAGGAATCCAGCGACTAATGCATTGGTGAGGACCCCACATAAATTGATGGCCCACCATAAACAGGAGATGTCACTGTGACTCTTGGGACGATTTTGTGGAAAGACGAAACTAACCGAAATTATGCATACCTGACATCTTTTTCCATTTATCTCCGAGGACTCTTCCCACTTCTGTGAATGAAATTCCAGGATTACTCTTCTTCACATTCTGTGGCCAACAGATTATACCGTCAGTAACCAATCTGTTCCCACGAACAGGGACAAAGTTTCTCACAACGTGGAAATTCTGATTTTCGTTGAAATAGCTTTATGCATGTTTGCTAAAGGTAAATACATGTCTCGTGGGATCGACATCGCCACTCATGCATTCAAAAAGCACAGAGGGCATGTGGTCAAATCAGGCTGGCTAAGGTTCAGACCAAAATGAGGGACCATATATAGTTGACACGGACGAATATGCATCCAATACTTGATGCAATATATATAGGGAGACATAAATGTAGAAAAGAAGCCCACCTCCCTATCCATTTGTGAGAAGAACATGAAACCAGACATAGCTCTTTTTGGGGCGTTGGGATCCTTTTTCTTTTTCTGTTTTTTCTTCTTTGAACCACCATCTTCATCTCCATCTTTAGATTTCTTCTTGGAAGAAGATGCCTTGGAAGCGGTTGGTTCTTTTTTGGAATCCTTTTTGGCAGGCTTCTGAAAATGGCCATTCAGTTAAATAGAAAACAGAGGTTTTCAAGGGAACCTTCTTAAACATAATGCAAATGATAAGAACAAGATGCCTTGCCTCTTTTTCTTCTCCACTTTCACTGGCATCGGATTCTTCCTCCCCAGAATCATCAGTCGGGGAACCTTCATCGTCCTTGTCGACAACAAAATCTTCATCCTGTAAGGATCATCATGTCGGAACAATGAGTGGACTAGCACATCAAAAGACACAGACAGTGGGGACAGAGACGCATACATGCATGGTAAGTGAAGACTCAGATGCACATGTAGGATATCAAACTAGTGTATAATTGATCAGAGAGGAAGAGAAGTGGAATAGATAGGGGTCAAAACAAGCAGAATCTCTCTGCCCTTGAATAGGGAATGTGCATGTGTGAGATATTTCTCAAGATTTGATATGTACTTTTCTTAAAATAGCCCTAATAGCAAATGACAATCCAAGCTCTGCCTCCTTGAGGAGAAACATGAGTAGGATAACTGTCATGAAAACTTCAACTATGTGTTAGTTTTCTTGATAAAACTACCTTTGCATACTCGGACCTCTTTTTTCCCTCCAAACAAAATAAAAGGAAGTTCTACCTAGGTGTAAAATTACATGTTAGTCTCAAGAGCCATGTTTTCAAAAGTAGCAAGTGAAGTACAAATTCTAGCAAAAGTTTTGGCCCTCAATGACATAGCTCAATGAACTCAACAACTATGCTTTTTAACTACAATCAAATGGCATGTCCACACTTGAGAAAAGAAAAAAAAAATACAAAAAACCACCTCTTCGTCACTCTCATCTCCACCAGCTTCATTCTTAACACGAACAAGATGCGGATCAACGGCATCATCATCCTCATCTTGAAGAACAGATGCAACGCCCTCTGTAGTCTTGAGATCTCCCAAATTCATAATTTTCAAACCTTTTCCACTGCATGATAGTCACCAGGTGAAATTAAATTAGCAAACCTCAATAATTGCCTCTATGTAATGAGATGAGAAGCTCACACTGACCTGATGAAGTCAAAAAGATTATGGTACTCGTTCCTCTGAATATTTCGGAAAAGATGCTCTTGCTCAGTTTTAAGTCTGATAAGAAGATCAAAGTAATGCATATTTGAGCCACCAGCAGCATGCCTCTGAAATTCCACATAGTCAATCTAAGACAACCAAAAGATGTCAGCCTCCAGTTAGTCTCCAGAGCGAGCATAGTAGGTCAACAGCATAACAGGATCATAAGAAAAGACATATTTAGAGAATATACCTCCTCATGAAGAATAAGGGTGGGAGGTTTAGGCAGAAAAAAGAAGCTCTTTTCAAGGGGATACAGGACCCCATCTTCAGCTTTCAGTGATGATTTCACTGCATATCCATCCTGACAACTACGGAATTTTCCTGGTTTAGTAACTTTAGCACTGGATAAACCACGCAATATTGTGGTGAACACCTCATGAATAAGTCCCTGTGTGTTCAAATATATTAATGTCAGGTCAAGTTCCTCACATCAGAAACAACCCCCCAAAAATGGTATATATATTCCCCTAATAAGCCAAACAAAACAACCCATTTGTAAATTAATAGAAAAAAATAAAGAACCTCCTACCTTATAAGATGGTTCTAACTTGTCCTTATATTTGGTGCTCAACAGATCTTCACTTATTGACAGATCGCTCTGGATTATGTAGTCAGTTTCAAACTATAAATAACAGGAAAAGAACAAGTCAGTCAAGCAAGAATAATAAACCACCAAAGTTAATAGAACAGAGAAAAATAACCAAATTGTGATTATGAAAACAATGAAATAAAAGTACCTGCAATACAACATGTGGATACAAAGTTTGGCCTTTACGGATAGGAGGATCTAGAGTAACAACAACAAAGGTATGTGGCTGGTTATACTGCATAAAGAACAAGATAGTGTTACTTTGTTAATTAAGATCACATTAACCAGCCTGCTCATCAGAGACAACCAGAGAGGCAGAGACTAATAGATTAATAATGATAAACATGCACGAAGAACTGGATAGTGTGCATGAACACTTCATTAGCATCTACATAAAATTTGTGCGCTGAGCAAGAATAGAAGACCTTGGGAAGTAAAAACAGGCGAACAACACTACTGTACTGAATTTTGAAATCATTAGCCTGTCCTTGTAGCCTCAAGAATGAAAGATGAAGTTCCACACTGTAGCGCCCCCTGTATATATAGTAAGCACTTGCTTAAGCATTGATAATTTGATTGTATCAATTGTAGGTGCCTGTGTGCCTATTAACATGCGCGTCAAAAAAAAAAAAAAAAAATTTGTGTTTTCAATTTTCAGCAGATCTACCTTGGCGTAAGGATAGCAATACCCTCAAAAGTAACAACAGCTTCTTCACCTCCGGCACCAACATCTGCCATCGACATAATTTTGTCACGAAAAACCTACCAATAGTCGATTGGAAATAGATCAGCATAATAGCATAATATCACAAATCAATGTCTCAAAATTTCCATCAAGCAGCTAGTAATAAACTAACCTGGGCAGGAGGACGGCTTTCATCACCAACAAATTGAGTGTTGGAGTTGGGAATGTGAAAACTTATCTCCATCAACGAATCTTTCTGTCATAAAGAAGATAGAAATACTCAAGAAATAATCTAAACTTAAAGTATGTTACCAGATAATCTAATATCCTTTTCTAATCAGAGATTATGTTAGCATAAAGGGGCCTTGATAGGTATGACACAAGTATTGATTATAAAAAGGCTGCTTAAGATCATTGTTAAAGAACAGAACCTAACTAACCAACCTCGTTGGCTCCAGTTGTATCATCCACATGAAACTCCAAGATGACATCATTTTTTCCCTGAAGTTGTGTTTGCGATACATCTGCCAAAGATACCTCAAATGCTTGCTTGGAACCAGCCAAAAATGTAAGCATATTCCCTGCAAAACCAGTGTAAGACTTTAACATAAAAATAAGAAAAAAAGGAAGAGAGAGAGAAACCAGAACAATCCCATTCAGGTTCTTCTCACTATATAACTCCTATTTTCAGTCCCCTTTACCAGAGCCAATATCGTATTAGAGGCAGTCATTAAAAAAATAAAAAATAAAAAATAACCCCACAATCTTTACATCATTATAATCGTCACCGTTCTGCTAATCACATTTAGTCTTTCTCATGAAGCAACTTTGCATTGCTACTAATGGATCATGAACAAAAAGAAAAAACCAGATAAATGCCATTTGTATTCAGTAACTTAAATGAAAAGAGAGCATTACCATTTAAATCAACTTCTCCCCAGTTACGGCCGCTTACAGAGAGTTGCTTCTCCTCTGGAGTAATCCCACAAGTATTTTGGAAATAGGTGGACAAACTAGAGACATCCTACAAAGTAATTATAGGAGAAAAGGTTAAGGTTAGAGACCTTTTGCAATAAGACCATGAATTCAAAGGGAGTGTTTGCAATATTATAATCAAAGCTTCCATTGATAGCCATCATACAACTGAACAGCAAAACAACTTTTACTATAAAGGCAGAAACTTGTGAGCAAGAGCACTTGAGTTTCCCAGGACACTAACAACAAGTGCCTACAAGTAAACTCATATTTCATCTTGATTGCCAAGTAACAAAACTAAAATTCTAATGTCCAAAGTAGGTCACCTTTTCAGTAATGGACATACAATCATGAGAGTTAGAGATAAAGGAATACTAACCTGGTCACGAAACCCAGTAAACTTGTAGTACAAACCATCTTTGATCCGAACCCCAAGTTGATTTGTTCTCGGGACCTTCATCCATGTTACCCCCACGATGTCAGCCTTATCAACTTCAATTGCTTTACCACCTCCTTGTTTCTTCCACAAAATCCCTCCAGAAAATATTTTAAGCTGCCCAGGATTCTGTCACATAGAGTGCATTAGATGGGGAAAAAAATAATTGTATACCTTCTTGCTTAAAATGATGCTACAACCTAACCATATGAAATGCAAGTCATGGGTTTAATCAGTGCCACAAAACATTCTATCATGAAGTTAGAATGCGAAAAAAAGGAAACAACAATCAGGCTCTACGTTGCCATTTATCAGCAATAATTACTATAACATACAAAGAAAAAGTTCTCACTAGAGAATTTCAGCAATACATCCGAAGTCTAACAAAATCATAGGCCTGGGAGTCGTTAAGAAATGCAAATAACAAGACTACAAGATCTATCATCGGCAACTACATAGACCTGTATCAAATAAAGTTGCAAAAATAGTATTGAATCATGAATCATCATTCAAGGAATCAGACTTTATATTTGAGACGAAGAAATGCAAAAGGTGAAAACCATAGGGGGTATTAGACTTTTCGTACAACTAGCTCCCCAAATGAGGACACAAAAATCTGCATTGTGGGGATACCAACGAACTGTAGACAATGCATCGCCATTGGATTTTCACGGGTATTACATATATGAAGTCTCAGACTCTATTGAAAGCTTCCAAATCACGCTTACCCTCCCTCCTCCTACTTAGTGCAGAAAATTTTCCTTTTTTTTTTTTGGGGAACTTATTCTACAAAATGATTAGCACCAACTGAATATACATGGATAAGGGCCATACGAGGGATTTAATGGAAAAGACACAGAGTCCCTTATCAAAAATACCTAGCAGACGTTCATAACTAAACAAAACTCATGGGTAGTTTGAAAACCCAAAGATTGCGTTGATGAAATGGGTTAGGGTTTCAAGAAGTCGAACCTAGAGCAACCACGGAGACTAATTGTAATCCCCTTTCCCAAATCCTAATAAGTTCGTCGCCATCAAACACACCAAATTCGAATGCAGTTCCAGAAGAGAAGAACCCCTTCATATACTCCAATAATTAGGGTTTCAAAACCATAAAAGAAAAAGAAAAACTCAACCATAACAACGGAACTACCCCAACTCTCAAAATCGACACCAAATTTCACCACAGCCAAACTCGGCGAGACCATCAATGGTTCCATAGGAGACAAAAATTAGAATTTCGAAACAAACTAGGGTTTCAAATTACACCGAGAAATGAAAATAAATCGAAGAACAAAAACTCCATAGTAAAACAGAAAAAGCTCGAAACCAAGTAATATGAGGAAAGGAGAAGAAGAGAAAGAACTCACAGTGCCTCCGCGGCCTCCGATAGAGATGTTGTTGAAGAGATGGCCGTCTGTCATGGCTCAGAGAATCGAAACCAGAAGAAATCTCTGCAAACACTGCGACAGAGAAGAGAGAACAAGTGTCCGAAAAAAAAATAAATAAATAAGCAAGGAAATGAGGGGGAGCCTTTTATTTATAGAGTATGGAGGCGGTGCGCACTGCGCACCAAGACTAATGCGCGCGAATTGGGAAAACGATCCGGTGCGAGCGTCTCCACTCTACGGGAAGAAAAAGGCTTTTTTTTTTTGTTTTGTTTTTTTTACATGAATACCCTCTCAACTTCAGTTTTGCAAATTGATATCTTTAGGCCTCGTTCGTTTCGATGATTCGAGTTTAGAATTTGAGTTAAGATATAATTGTATGTGAGAGCTTTTTACTGTAGCAAAAAATTAGATGTGATTATTTGTGAGAGCTTTTTACTGTAGCAAAACTCGAATTCTAAACTCGAATCAGCGAAACGAACGAGGCCTAAATTTTTTTCTTAACAATTCATACCTTAAACTTTAAAATTTATTACATTATTAATTAAATTTAAAATAAAATTAAAATTTTAAACAGTAATTTTTACGTGAGTGTTTAATAAATTTTTTTTTTATCTTTTTACATCGAATTGAACCCTTTATACATTATGAATGATCGTGGACGTTTGGTTCATAAATTCAGAATCATGATTCAGAACTATTCTCGATTTACGTGTATTTTTTATGAGAGAAAATACTGTATCAAACAACGAACTATGATTCAAATCATGGTATAAATGTAGCAACCAAACAACCTTAATTAGTGGCCCCCAATTTTTCTCCTAAAACTGTTAACTCCCAGTTTCAAAAAAATTTCAATCGTGACGTGTACATAAAGATCAATTCGATACAAAAAAATATTAATTATTTTTATTAAATATTTACATAAAAAATATCATTTAAATTTTTAAATTCATTTTCAATTTGATTAATATTGTAACAAATTTTAAATTTTAAGAAGTAAGTTATCAAAAAAATTAAGAGGTTGTTCTTTTGCATTTTTGAGTTAGGGTGACTCGAGTGATGATCTTGAGTTATAATTTGAGTTGAAGTTGTAACTTGAGTTTGTGTTTGGATATGCACATTTGAGTTATGATTTGAATTGAAAATCTTTTTGAGTTTGTGTTTGGGTGGGTTAAAATTTAAATTTATATTTAGATAGTATTTTAATAAAAACTCAATGGTAATGAAAAACTTTAATAGGGTATATGTGTGAGATTTTATTCATCTTTTCGTTGTGAATGCATAGAAAAAAAATCATCTCAATCAAAATTAAAATGAAAAAGTTATGATATTTTTAAGAATAGAAAAAATATTATTCATTAACTTAAGTTCGAGTTTATGAATTCGAGTTAAAGGAAAAACTTGAACTCAAATTTAACCCCAAATTCAAATTTAAACTCAAATTTTATAAAAAAATATAAATTTAAATAAAATTATAACTCAAATTTAAATTTTGTCTGAGTTTCATTCCAAAAAATAACTTTTAAATCACGAAATTACCAAACTCGGAAAGTTGAAACGGTGTGCATGCAAAATAGCCGAATAAAAAATAGACTGGATGAGAGGTGGCCACGTGTCAGACCGTCGCTTACGAGGGACGCTCACTGACGTAATTGGGGAACGTGGCTTGGGCCTTGGTGGGCCTTGGTAATAACTCTTGGTATGCACATCACTTTTGGGAAAACAAAACATGTCGTATAAAGGCAAACACATTTTGATCTCGCAAACGACAGCTTTAGATATGAAATCAAAGATCATCATATAATCGATACATTAAAAACGACATGTCGTATAACACAACAATGGATGGATTTTTTCCCCATGGTACAACCCCATATGGACCCGCTCGAGGATAAAGACAACCTCTTCTTCTTGATTCAAGGTGAAAAGGAAACGAGAGGAGACTCTCAACCATTCCGATATATACTTTAGAAAATAATTATACATACTATTTATACCTAATAAATAGTTATACATACTATTTATACCTAATATGCATTAATATCTTATTATTGTTATCCATATACGTTTCGTTATAATTTTGTTTGTTTTGAAAGAAAACTTTTATAATCTGATATGATCTCAACTTATTTTTTGTTTATAATTTATTAAATGTATCAGTTTTATAAGAATTTTGAATTTAGATTGAATTACATTGTTGTTGATACATCTAATAGGAAACGACAAGGCGTCTGTGGCAATGAGGAACAACATATGCTTGCATGACAAAGTTGAAAAAGTACATATATAGATTACGGTTCGTTCATTTTATCAATTTAAGTTTAGAATTCGAGTTTTTCTACAGTAAAAAGTTCTAAAAAATAGTTACATATAACTTTTTTATCACAGTAAAAAGCTCTCACATAAAGTCACATCTCAACTCGAATCAGCGAATTAAACGAGCCCTACACTTTTGATGAACGACATCATACGAAAATGACATCTCTTGCAAAGTTTTAAGTGACTTAACCTGCAATTATGATAGCTTGTTTTTTAATGTCTTTTTTTTTTTTTTTCTAAATGACAAGCGTTGTATACAAATGTAGTTGGAAAACAGGGGTTATTCTTTTGGAGTGTAACTTGAGTGTAGTTTTTAAGTTAAATTTGAGTTATAACTTGAGTTGAAGTTGTAACTTGAATAAAATTGAGTAAAGTTGAATAAAATTAAAACTTAAAAGAACGTGAACTTGAATAAAGTTAAAATTCGAGTTGTTTTTTTTTTTTGAGTTTTTTGGACAAAAGAACATGCCCTATCATTGAAGAAACATAGTAGATAAACTACATAGTTGGGACTTGGGAGAAGACAAACATAAAATTAACTTGTCGTATAACGAATGATGCGAATCGATATAATACAAGGACGATATGTATACAAGCTAAATTATTAGAAAACGACGCAATGAAAAATGATTTTTCATACACAAATGATTACATGCTACAAACGATATAATCTCGAATGCAAATTACAACTCGGAGAAGACATGATGAAGCACAATGCCACGAATAAACGACATCATTTAAAACATTTTAGAGAAACTACGTGTCGTGTACAAACTTTGGAAGATTGATTTCATATTAACTCCTTGGTTATCTCAACATGTATGTATGGTTTTATTAAATATTTTCTGAAACATTTAATTTTTTTTTCTTTCCTTTTTTCTATGTTTCCGATGATATGTAATAAAGATTAACAAAATATCATTTGGTTTATCCCGACCTCCGTACGTACCATTTATCAACAGCATTTCACCCAATAATTTTACTAGAACACAAACTAACTATTAGCCAATAGTGTTAGCATGAGATTTCCTTCAAAGCATTTCCATTTAATTGCCACAAAGTAGATTTTTGTTTCTTCATCCTTAACTTTAAAGCTTCTCCCTCTTTTATTTTTTCTTTAACTAACCGGCATTTATGCCCCTTAACGATACGACTCGAAACCCGTACGAAATTAGTAGGTTTGAGTTTATCATAAATAGGTACGGGTCAAAATCAGGCCGAACCCATAAAACACGATTAAATAACATGTCATTTTCATGTTGACCCGCCAACTCGCAATTGACCCACCATAACCCGTTTATTAAACGTGTCATATTTGGGTAACACAAATTTTATTACTTATTTTATAAACATGTTCAAAAATAGGTTCAGAAATAGGTTAACACGACCCATTTATCACATATTTTATAAATAGGTTCAGAAATAGGTTAACACAATCCATTTATCACCCATTTTATAAACGGGTTGACAGGTAATCAACGCGTTGACACGACACGGTTATGACCTGTTTAATAAACGGGTTATTCGTGTCATGTCGTGCCAATCCGCCAATATACAGGCCGTGTTTGGATTTTGTATTTCGACACGATTAATAAACGAATCGTGTTCGTGTCAGACCTATTCATGTTAACTGAGGGGGTTAACACGACACGAACACAACCCGTCAACACAAATTGCCACCCCTACTTTTGTTTGCTTGACCCTTTACCCGTAAACTATTTTATTAGGCACTCAGTACCTAATAAAATAGTTCATGTTCATAGTGTGAATAAACGATAAATATATAAGTTTATATAAAAGGGGGCAAAAATTCGGGGGTGACTTCAAATTAGTGTTTTGTTATTGTGTTGCGTCCTTTTTCAGTCTCTCTTACTTTCCCATCCCCTCCTATGTTGGGGAAAAAGATGAGTGGAATTTAAACCACAGATAATCAAGTGGGGTCATGAGCTGTCTTAATTAACAACTTTGAACACAAGAAATGTATTAATAAATGCAAGAAAGAATACAATAAGATATGACATTTGTGAATATTCTCATTTCTCATAGAGAACATCGTCTTGTGATCGGGCGCCGTGTGGGGAACAAACTCCAAGCCCGACCTCAGGAATCTGAACAGATGATTATTAAAACATGAAAATGTTAATTAATAATAATCAGTTATTTGTGTAAAAGAGCAAGCCAAAATATAGCGATGAACTCTAAGAAACATGCACTCAAGTCCACTAATATATATTTATATATATATATATATCTATCTTTAGCGTTGTGTTGCTGCTCGTTGACAAAACTTTCATATATTCTTTTTCCCTTTGAGTCCAAGCAAGTAAGAAATGTGCATGGGAAGGGTAGTTTCTGTAGAATTATGATGCAGGTTCTGCCAAAAACATGGTTTGTTTTGCATGCAACTTGACGACTTATTTTAATAACTAAAATTCAAAGCTACTGTAGTGTGTTTAATTTTGTTCTTTATTTGTTCCAATCCCGTCATTGTATGCACTCTTTTTGGTGTTTATTGTTGAATTAGTAAAAGCTTGTTTGACATGCATTTAACACACGCATGGGGAGTTGAATCTTGTGCTACTAGTTAACTAAGAGATAATGGCTTTTTAAAAACCAAAAAGAAAAAAGAAAATTAATAGCTAATGACAATTAATCACACACATAAGAGCAATATTAGAAATTGATATTGCTAACTACGTTTATACAGATCAATAATTATATTCAGTAGTGCCTGATATAACTCACATGAGAATAATTATAAAATAATATTTAGTAGTATTTGACACCATAATTTAGATGAGATAATCTTGTTTTAAATGTATGTTAGATGTCGCTTGAAGAGGTTAATAATTCCAAATTCATTGACTGAAATTTTCCTAATACTGCCCTTTTAAACTTAGGCAGCAAGCAACAACATAATTGGCCGGCCATGTGAATTAAGAACGTTATACATTACAGCAAAAAAAAAAAACCATGAAACTACTTGCAGTTTTAGGTGCTAATGAAAAATTTGTCTTATATATTGACTCGAAAACATCGTCCCTCTTGTCTTTTTATAGTTTAATAATAGTTGTGAAAACAAAAACAAAACACAACAAACAGACAAAACAACATTACGTACACATAAACCATGTCATACTTATATATATATATATACACATAACTATTCCAACGCTCCACCAAGTCAAGCAGCCAAAGAAGAAAGAAAACCCGCACAAGAAAGATCAAAAAAAAGGAAAGAAAACTCAGAAAGAAAGAAAGAAAGGAAAACAAGATATGGAATTGATGATGCAGGTAAAGAATGAAGAGAGCAGTACTAGGAGACGACAACTTTACAAGGCGGATGGTGATCAGGCTCAGGTGATTAAGAGACGACGAAGATCATCAGATCAAACTGCATTAACTGCAACAAAATGTGATGATAGTACTTTTAACGAGACTCAACAGCAACAGCAAGTGCAAGGTGATTATCAAACTTCCCCAGCCACCACTGTGAAGAGAAGTTCGAAATATCGCGGTGTTAGCAGGTGTGTTTAAATGTGAAATTGTTCGTGTTTTTTAGTTGTTTTAATTTTAATCGATTTTCTTAATTAATCAAATTGAATCGACAGACATAGATGGACTGGACGCTTTGAAGCACACCTGTGGGATAAGCTCTCTTGGAATGTAACTCAAAAGAAGAAAGGGAAACAAGGTAGATAAATATATCATGATTTTTGGTTATTGATTTTCCTTTGCCACAAAGAATACTGTTTCTGTTTATTTGTTTTCTCAACTGGAAACTGACTAATGAAGACTTGTTGGAACTTTTACGTTGCCTTTTCTATCGCGCTTTGGAATCGGTTATCCCGGCGCGCGAGCAGTTTACCTTGGTGAGTGTCGATCTAAGTCTTTTAGTAATAAGTTTATGGATATATGTTCAGTTGTTGATCTTAAGTAGAGGCTAGTGACACATATATACTCTTGTCCATGTTTCTCAGGAGCTTATGATGAAGAAGAATCTGCAGCAAGAGCATATGATTTAGCTGCACTCAAATATTGGGGCACGTCTACTTTCACCAATTTCCCGGTATGTAAGCTTTTCTTTTATTTCATTATTATTATTATTTTTTATTTTTTATTTTTGCATTCATTGAAAAGGTTTGATGATCATCATCATAATCATTAATCTCGTCTGACATGCATTTGATGTTGTTTACAGATATCAGACTATGAGAAAGAGATTGAGATCATGCAAACTGTGACAAAAGAAGAGTATCTGGCCTCTTTAAGAAGGTATGACTAATATCTTAATGCACTAAGCAAGCTTAATTTTGCCAACTTTTGTGTATTAATGTTAATTGTTAACGTGTTGCAGAAAGAGCAGTGGTTTTTCAAGAGGTGTATCCAAGTACAGGGGAGTTGCAAGGTGATTTACATTCTCTCACAAATGTCTTATTCTTGATCAAGAATTACTAATGGAAATATAGTTCTCTAAACATTGTTTGCAATTTTACATTTATGTGATGCAGGCACCATCATAATGGTAGATGGGAAGCAAGAATAGGGAGAGTTTTCGGAAACAAATACCTCTACCTTGGCACTTACAGTAAGTCACAGTCTATAACTCCACAGTAATTAGATCAACATGTAATCTTCTTCTTTTTTTTTTTTTTTTTTTCAAGCAAAGAACCATTTAATCTTGTTTGTCATTATAATAAAGGATTTTTCCTTACAATATTTTTACAGCCCCACGATAAGCTTATGTTTTAAACCATCACAAATTATGTTAGTTTTAAATACTTTTTTTTTTTTTTTCATTTTGGTGCGATTTTGACCAGATGTAAGGTTCAAAAATATGCGCATAAGTCATAAACTACTGTAAGAACCTCCTTTTTCTTAACGTTTGATCTCATCAATCAAAGGTACCCAAGAGGAAGCAGCTCGTGCTTATGACATAGCAGCAATAGAGTACAGAGGCATCAATGCAGTGACCAACTTTGACTTGAGCACTTACATAAGATGGTTAAAGCCAGAAGCAGCAGGTAATCCGATCGGTGGTCTTGAATCGGAGGTCGCAACAGAGCCTCAAACAGTGCCACCAATTACAAACTATGCACCAACAGATCAGGATCAATCCCCATTCTTGAACACTGGTAATGCTAGTAATTTCATGATCTCTGATAATGACTTGAAGTACCTTCCCTCAAAGCCAGAAGTAGTCTTCCAAAGCAAAACCCCTCTACTAAGCAGTCCTGGCATTTGCACCAAGTCAGCTTCTCCAACTGCTCTCGGTCTTCTACTTCGGTCTTCAGTATTCAGAGAACTGGTGGAGAAGAACTCAAACGTTTCAGAGGATGAAACCGACGGTGAAGAGATCGCATATAACCAGACGCAGGTTGGTTGCGATAGTGATGATCAGTATGATGGATTCTTCTTTGATGGGATTAGTGATATCCCATTCGTCTGCAGCTCCAACAGAGATGGCATAGAGGTGTAAGAAGGAAAAGAGCTCCATTCTGTCGTGGTCACTGTTACAAGGAGAATGAAAATAGCCAGGCAATACGTGGTTTTCCTTAAACTACAAGCTATTAGCTCCCGAGTTGGGGATGTGAAAATAACAACGAATTTCATTTGAAAAAAAAAAAAGAAAAAAAAAAAGCGTAATGATTTCTGTTACTAGTAAATAAGAGAATTGGTCCATCAATTCAAAAGTATTATTGGGGACTTTGATGGTCCAAGTTAAATTGTACAAGCTTTTTGCAACATTGGAAAGATTTGCAAGGTAATCAGATCCAAACGAAATACACGTTTGCACCGTACAAAACGAGACTCTTTTGGAGGTATGTAAGATGAAAAAGTGTTATTTTTCGTTGATTTTCCTTCATACCTTAGAAGGTTGCCAAGACAGATTGAGACATTGTCTGTTCATTTTTTTTTTTGGTGCTAAAAAAAGGGTATATGGTGGTACACTTTGTCTCCTGGCCCTTCGGCTGTAACAGCAATTCCAGAGACCACCGAATATGTAAAAAATGTTTGAATTAATCTCTCACTGACCATATTATCTGTTTATTAATAGTTACAACTTACTAGTGAACAGACGAGATTAAAGTTGGGTTTCTAGTTATTTATTTATGAGTAATATTAGAAATACCAACTCAAATTTTAACTCTTGTGTACCAATTAATGTGACATATAAGTTGTTATTTTTTTATTAATAGATGAAATCTCTTATCATTTATTGACGTGACAATGTTTTAGACACCTATTAATATAAAAATAAAAACTCACATGCTATATCAGTTAGTACATAAGAGCTAGTGCCGTAGTTAGTGTCCCTGCGTTATTCTTTACTTATTTATTATAGAAGTTCATGTCAGTTGCAACGGACCAAATCTCCTAACGCCATTCAGTTGACAGTGGTTCAAGTATTTAACATTCCAGGCACATAAACAACAGTTCGGAAACACCCAAGCGCTAGAGGAAAAAGAGTATTGTTGGGCAGTTCCCAAGAAAATGTATAACACTGTATTTTTGTATCCTGAAGCACAGAAACTGCTACCTTAATAACTGATGGCGCATCGGCCGTAAAGCACAGAAAATTCAAGGATGCAAATAGGATAAAAGTTTTGAGCGTAAATTCAGTAATTAAAGCGTGTGAACCAGCATATTTACGTTGCCCATCCACACTCATGAAAGTCCCTAGCATCCCTGGATTATATTCTTATAATGATGAACAAAACAAAACAAAACCCTCTATGCTCCAGTAAAAGAAAGATGAACAATGAAATCAGGTTATAGTATGTTCATGTGTAAAAGCAAAAATCTACCTACTAAGCTGCATCAACAATTGTAAGCGTCAAAGAGAGAAGCCATGTTTATTATTCACGTGCTGAAAACCAAAGCTATATGCATTGTTCATCCCACTGCACACAACTATTTCATCATACTAAAAAGTAGAAAGGGAAAATCTTTCACCCACAAAGGCTTCAGTTCTCAAGATATAGAATTTGAATACACTACTTCTCTTCTGGAGGAAACACCTAAAATTTCTATTAGGAATCATGATGTAGAACTATGAGACTATCACTGGGATTTTATGTCCCTAAAAGTGGACTGTGACACAATGAAAAGTTCTTTCTGGCCCAATAAAGTCAGCTGCAAGGCAAACATCTCATCATCAAAGTATCAACATTTTTCACGAAACACATATTATTAACGCATAAGTCAGTCTAGCAAGAAAATTTGACCAAAAAAAAAAAAAAGACATAAGTGCTGAACTTCCGCCAAACTGCATGTTTTAGATTCTATGATTAAAAACAAAAGTTGACAGAATGCACTTTGCAAAAATCAAGACCAGACGCCGCAATTGGTTAACAGGACAAAGCAACAGCTCACATCAAGAAAAGATTTGAGCAAACTGAATTCTAGTTTCTGACCTCAGGTTTAGCTCTTTTACAGAAATACTGGTGTTCTATTGTCTCCGAACGATACAAACTTCATTTCCTCTAAAACAGCTTCAAAATTGCTTTCTCTTATTTCTGAAAAGCTCGTCTCTTTTTGCATAAAGATAAAAGAAAACAAAGAAAAATCCCACGGATATGGAAACCGAAACCCATGGAAACGGCGGATCCTTGAAACAAACCAGTGACGCCTCCAATTCCTGTGATGCAGTATAGACAAGGGAGTGGATGCCATATAAATCATGATCAGAGGACCTTAGGTAATACAAAGCCGTCTCAAAATCCAAACGAGACAATGCAGAAACTGCCTTATCCAGCTTGTACTTAAACAAGTTCCATCTTTGTATGAACTCAACATGCTGATTATGTTTCAGAAGTTTTCTATCCCCACCATGAGCAGCCATAGATTCAAGAACATCAATGGCACTTGTTATGCTATAATTCAACGACGTCAAAAGAACATTTCTCCGTGCAGCATCTTTCTGCACGAAAGACAAGGACGAACTCTCAGAGAACGGACCGAAAGGAGTCTGCCCAATACTCCATGTGTAATCCACCAAAGTAGTATTGTGTCTAGGGCTCCATAACATATGGGTCGGCGAAACTCCCCACATGCTCTGCAGAATCGAACCAACAAGCTGACGCTCAAGCTCTCTCGTCTGCGTAAACACATGGCGGCCATTGCAACTATAATCACTCACAGTTTGGGTATTCTTTGTCCTCACTGCAATAACCATGTCTTTGAAAGCAACAGACTGGTGATACCGATCGAGCAACAAGATTGAGTGGACGTCCAAATCAAACACATAAACTGGAAGAACCCTTCCAAAATCCTCCTCAGGAATCGACGCCACCCTCCTGAACTCGTCTGCGGAATCCGACAATATCCGATGCAAACGCTTCGAGTCCAAATACTCATTCACAATCATAGTATAGTTATCAAAGAGAAACCTAGACGTATAGGAATTGGTCGACCGGGAAATGGCGAACGAGCAAATCGGACACTCTGCATAACTCACTCTATAAGTCTTAAACCTCAAAGACTGATCAGCCAACAACAAGCCACTATCATTAACCTCATCCATAAACGTCCTCTTTATAGCTTTCCAATCCAACCCACTCGGATCACCATTCTCAGTCCCGTAAACATGTATAAGCTGAACAATCAAGGAATTCTCAAAAGGCACAGGAATTCTCAAAGAAGGAACAAGAAGAACCTGGTAAGCGCTCCAGACCAAGGACGCCAAGTCCGCAAGCAAAGCCTTATCCGATTTCGGCCGGCCATGAAGAGCCGCCAAGGGATGAAACTCGCCTCTGGGAAGAACTCCGTCGCCGGAGATCGCAGGACCGTAATCGACCGGTCCGGCACCCAAATCGACCCAAATATACCTCTCCTTCCCGGTCCAGATGCTCCCCAAACACTTGGAAAACGCAGGGGAAGAATCTCCATGGCCGTAGCTATAAGCGTAGGGCTTGGACTGTTGACCTAAATTCAAGAAATAGAGGTAAACTCCATGGACGGGCTTCTCCTTCTCGAAGTCCTGACGGATGATCTGATCGACGGAGGAGTAAGGGATGGAGAGAAGCGGCGATCGGAGACTGGAGGGAGTTTTGTCGATCTCCGATTTGAGGGCTTTGGAGAGTAGAGAGGCGAGGGAAGGGGAGTGGGAGACGTCGAGGTGGAGGGAGTGCTTGACGGCGAGCTGATGGAGGAGGGAGTCGAAAGGGGTGATGACGTGGAAGTGGTCGGAGTGTTGGGAGGCGGAGAGGAAGGAGTAGAGGAGGGAGGAGGCGGACGAGGGGAAGGAGTCGCCGACGAGGCGTACGTGGAGGGAGAGGGAGACGGAGAGGGAGAGCAGGGAGTGGGTCTTGTCGGAGTGAGAGAGGAGGGAGGAGGAGGAGAGAGAGAGGGAGGATTTGAGGGAGGAGGAGAGAGAGAGGAAGGAGTCGTTGGTGGCTTGTGGGTCCAGGCGGGATTGGTGGGAGAGGAAGGTGTCCAGCCCTATGATCGGAGATGATGATGATGAACTGATACTGTTGCTGAAGATCAATAGCAAGAAGAAGATGGTGGTGGTGGTGAGGGCCATTTTTGGTCTGCAAGAAGGAGAATCAAGAATTTTGGGTTTTTTTTTTTTTGGGTGTTGGATGATATTGAGAGAAAAGAAATGGGTTTTGGAGTGGACTCAAGTCTCACCGGAGCTTGGGAATTGACTTCTGAAAGGGCCACAGGGTGGGTGAGCACCACTGTGGAAATGGAAAGAAAATGGCTCGTCGTATCTGTGGTGCACTTTTTTTTTTTTTTTAGTAGAACGATTATTTGGCTTAGTTGAGAAAAGGGCTGTTATGTAGCCCAAGTATCATTTGTGTCATTGTGTCTAATTCAAGTCGAGATTAGTTTCATGCTAAACATCATTACGAAAATTTGAGATTTGAGCACTCCCATTACACAAATGCTCACAACGCCAATACAATAAAATAAAACGTGTCAGTGAATAATGAACCATGTTATATAAGTGAGTGAATAATGAACCATGTTATATAAATGTTGAGTATATATTGCCTTCTATCTACATATAGTCTTAAGTATACATTTGTCTTCAACCTTCACTTTTTGACACAATTAATGCCTTTTTCAATTCTAATTTTACTACAATTAAAAACTTTTATGAAAAGTCACGTATAACTTTTTCTGCTACAGTTAAAAACTCTCACGTAAACATCTCAACTCAAATCGGCGAACTGAACGAAACCTAAGTGTGGTTAGGGACGACATTATTCTTAACAAAGTGAATATGGAGGAAATTCTAATCTGATCACCGCAGGTGGTAATTTCGTTGATTTCTTCAGGCGGTTAAACTGGAAGGATGATAAAAGAAAACCATTTTTGATAATAATCTCGCAAAACACAACAGTAAATTGAAACTCTCTCCTGGAATTAACCACTATAGATTAGCAGCACCATTTCCTCTGTAACTCCAGTTTCCTACTTGCAAAGCAGAAGCAGCAATTGGTTCTCCACGGTAAAGACAACGAAACCGAGAAGAAAGAGAGATTTTAACTACTCTTTTTAACATTAGAAACAGAAGGTACAATCGTACAACTAAATTCTAGTAGGCCACTGCCTCATCCTCATCTGTATCACTATAAGACTCTGAATCCCAAAATTTTGAAACATGATCATCTTCGGTTTCGCGTTGAGAAGCAGGGCAAGAAGCACTAGAGAAATCCTTATACCGTACGAGCCCCATTCGCGGACCATAGCTACCGGTGACAATTCGACAGCCATCCACAGCCATGGCAGAACATCCAGAAGCGACACTAGGTTCCTCAGGAAAACCACATGTAAAGGAATTAGTTTGTGTGCCAGTGTCTGCCTCCCAAACATTTACACAAACATCCTCTTGACCTGCCGTGACTATCTTATACGGATCCATGTGCAACAAAGTAACTGGCCCTGTGTGTCCATCCAACTCGGCTATTGGTTCTGGTCTTATTACTGTTTCCTGATTTCTCCTAACATCCCAAAGCATTGCTCTGCAAGAATTAAGCACATTATAGGGCTAAACATGTTAAGACTCTTAAATCAGCTCATTCGGTTTCAATATCGGGAAGCATACAGAAAGACCAACAAAGAATAGTCATTTGACACGGTGCACGAGGTTAATGGGCTGCGTTTAGTGCTTTTATCTTACCTGCCATCACCACCAGTGCAGATTAAGGATTTTGAAGGCAAGCCCTCAAAAGAGTACAGCTTTGTTTGATGGACTGCTGCAGTCATAACCTTTTGCATGATCCTCAAATCAATTGCAACAACAGATGAACCAGCAGCAACATAGATCAGTGCTTCATGGCACTTCATGTTTACAGGCACACCAGGAACAGAAGTCATTCCCACACAGCAAGATGAACGAGCAGCTGATGATGTAGTCGTGTCCCAAACCCTCACCTTAAACGCACACATATCAATGTCCTTACGATTTTATTTGAGAAATAATATTATTGAGTAAGATTGAAACTAATTCTTCTCTATATAACCAAAAGAAAATCATGTAAAATTCACTGGTTAATCACTCAAAAGGTGAAAACAACTATAGGTATGGGCGGCATATGCCCAACACAAGAGTTTGTGTATATGTTTAAAGGAAATTAAAATGAGTGGGATCCAATAGAAAAGGGTTTTACCTATGCCAAGTAAGCCTAAGAAATAATAATTTCTCAATAACTAATGACGCAGAGATCATTCTTACAAGGGTGAGACTAAGTTATGTGAAATTATGAGATTAGATTCATTATTATCTGATTTGTAAGATTCTCTAACAAAAACAAATCCACTTAAATTTAAAACCTCACTGGCGATGCTGAGGAAAAATCCTAATAAAATCATAAAACATGGACGTTTTGGAAATAAATACCTTAGAATCTTTTGAAATAGTCGCCAAAAGAGAAGCCTTGTGTCTGAAGGACGGACCAGTGAAGAGAGGCAACAAAAAAAAAAGGGATTAATTAGTGTTACCACAGGTCAGACTTATGGGGCATTATGCGGAGGCATTTGTTGAAATACAATACTTCTGAATTAATAAACTATAAACAAAACACAGAAAAGGTTATCAGTTAATGATTAGTAATCCACTCCCTAATTTATCATTTACTTGCTCAATTTGCAAACAGTGCACTAATAAGGGTGGAAGATAGCAGAATCATTTATATAAATTTTGGGGTATTGGGTGGTAAAAATTGAAAATCTAAGAACTGCATTAAGCTCGTTAAGAAACCAACTCATACCCAGCAACAGACATCAACTTAATGGGTTTTCCATGCCCATATAATGTAGCCTTTGGAGAATGCTGACCACGTTTACCACTGGAGCTGAGTGACCAAAGGCGAACAGTACCATCTTCTCCTCCACTAGCCAAAACTTTCCCAACACCATCACCTAGCAACTTATCTGATAGTGCTGAAACGGGGCCACTATGACCTTTGAAACATCTTTGGCATGAACCCTGCAATGAATTAGGAGTATGAATAGCTGGTTTGTGACCTACGATTATCAAACATCTTTGGCAAGATTTATGAGCTGCACTATCACCATATCTTTCCAAATTGGTTAAGAAAAGCACCAAATTAGGTGCAGGAAATTGTTGGTTTCAGGTGACTATTAAACCTTAAGAACGAATATTCCAATAAGATTCTTTGTAGAGGGAATGTTAAAAAACTGTCAGTTCATGTTACCTTCCACCACAGACGAATAGAACGATCACAGCTCGAAGTCACCAAAAAATTATCATTTCTCTGGGACTCGCTTCGAAATAAAGAAGTTTCATTCAGTGGAAACAACCTGCAGGTTCCCCAGTAGTTAAAACATTAATCCACAATATGCTCTGTAAGAAGAATACTTTGACACCCCACTCAGAAACAACAGAAGAAATAAAACATTCCTTATGTGCCATATTACATAAATCAAAGCAACAATCAAAGAACATTGTTGCGAAACACATACTTTGACACCCCACTCAGAAACATCAAAAGAAATCAAACATTCCTTATATGCCATATTACATAATGTTGCTGCTTAGATGACATTTTCTCAGCATTTTATAACGTATGATCTGCATAACTTTGGCCATGCAACATGAATAATGCTTTTTCTTAAAAATGAAAAAGTAAAAGAAATGACAATGTGACAATGTCAAGACTTTTAACTTTATTCAAGAGAATTGAAAAAACTTGCAAGTATTATTGATGTCACACAACACAAATGATCCATATATTTTTTCCTTAATGAAGCACGAAAAACCATGCAAAATTCTAACCTCATAGACGTTATTCTAGCATTGTGGACATTTCGTCTCTTATAAGATACTCTTGAATGATAGAAGCCATCAATCTCCACCATTTGTATCGAAGGACCCTAAGTCATAAGCACCCAACCAAAACGTTACAGTGGACATAAAACAAGGTTGAAAATGCTCAATTAATCTCTTCTATAGTGTAAAATTGTAAGTACTAAAACAAAAACAAAAACCCTAAAAATAAACAATAAATAAATAATAAGATACTGTGATTTTTTTGAGAACGTTCCAATAATTTAAATAAAAAAAAAAAAAAAGTCTCAAAGCATTAGGAAAGGAAAGGAACAAAACAAAGAAAAAAGAAGTAAATACCTGAGAAAAGATAATATCATTTTTGTCAAAGATCATATGATCAAAAGATTTTGAATCCGTGAAATATTCAACGTCGAATGGATTACTAAACTTGAACTGATGAACTGCTTTACGCCTAGCTAAATATGCTTCCCTGACTCCTGATGTTTGAGAGCAAATCGAAGTTGCTTGTTTCTCCCAATGTTCCCTACACAAACAAAGAGTTGAATCAATATTATCAACCACTACGCGAAAGAAACGCCTATATTCTATTCTCGCAACAGATTATTCAGACAAAAAAAAAACTCTCGCAGATTTGCTTTAGCTAACAGAATGATGAAATTGAAAACGTTTCTCAAGTGATTTCCTTTTACCGTTTATTCAATCAAACAATTGGATCGAGCATTTCCAAAAGAAGAAATACCGATGAAAAGAGGGGGAAGAGAAAGAAATGAAGAGAAGAAGAACCTGAACCAATGGAACCAGACGGAGTCGGAGTAAGCGACCTTTTTGAAGTACTTGCAGGTCATGGCCATGTTGGAGAGGTCTTGGAGGCCGAGGTGGCTCGCGCACTGAGCCAGTGAGTCCAAATTCACATCTGTTATGGTCGTCCGCGACAACCTCTGGCTTTGGATCGTCGGCGTAGATGTCGTTGGTGATGGATCCGCCATGGCCGGAGCTTGGTTGAAGATGATTGCGAAACCCTAGAAACTGAAGAAAGTGGGAGGAAGAAGATGGAATTTGAAGTGATTGGTGAATTAGGAGAAAGGAAATTTTTGATGTACAGAGCAGCATATATTCGTGTTCCCGGTCCGTACTTCATTGATTGATTTAAAGTGAAACAGTCATGATAACTATATGGGAAGGAAAATAATGACGGGTTTGAACCCAAAAATTATCCGAACCCTTCTTTGGTTGCAACCCAAAATATGGGAAGGAAATGACCGGTTTGAACCAAAAATCATACCAATTACCAACCCTTGTTTCATTGCATAAATTTTTGCATTTGTATTTGAGTTTTTAGTTTATTTTAAGCTAAAATTGAAGGTTTTAGAGTCTTTAAGAAGACTTTGGGCATGTTCTTTTGACATTTTTAGTTATGCAATTTGAGTGTAGATTTTGAGTTGAGTTTGAGTGATAATTTGAGTTGAAATTGTAATTTGAGTTTGTGTTTGGTTGTGTACATTTGAGTTATGATTTGAGATAAAAATCTTTTTGAGTTTATGTTTGAGTAAGTCAAAACTTGAATTTGTATTTAGACAGTATTTTAATAAAAACTCAATGCTGATGAAAAATTTTAATATGGTATATGGGTTTAGTTTTATCCGTCTTTTCGTTGTCAACGCATAAAAAAATCATCTCAATCAGAATTAAAACGAAAAAGCTATAGCATTTTTAAGAATACAAAAAATAATGTTCATTAACTTGAGTTCAAGTTTCTGAACTCGAGTTGAAGGGAAAACTTGAACTCGAGTTTTAGTCTCAAACTTGAGTTCAAACTTAAAAGAACATGAACTCGAATAAAGTGTATTTTTTGTGAGAAAAAACACTATAGAGAACCATTAATCATGATTCAGAATCAGAGACGAATATAAGAAACAAACGTCTCCTAATTATTGTTTTTTCTAACTCTATTATTTATATTATTATATAAAATTTTAATGCCATTATAACAAAAAACAACTTTAGAATACGAAAAATAACTTATAAATTACAAAAAAAATAATCCGTAAAGTATAAAATATAATTTGCATGTTACGAAAAATAACCTGCAGATTATGAAAGATAACCTGTAAATTATTTGTGACATAAGATAAATTTAACAACAATCGCAGAAATAAAATAATATTACTTTATTGATGATATTTTTAAAAATTCACCTCTATAGAACTTGTCATTCTAAAAAAAAAATTTGAGTTAAACTCATTTTTACTCATTTTTTAAAAAACTCATAATTATAATAATATAGCCAAATACATATTTAAATTTTATTTTATGTTTAAACTTTATATTACTACGCGAGTTAAGCCAAAAAAAATCTATATAAATATAATTTCAAATCTAAGAATTTAAACCAACACACTTCGACTCCGAGAAAAGAATTGGGCATGAGAAAACAAACAAAACAAAAGGAAAAAAGAAAACTGACACATGTCCAAATACAGAAAGAAAAAACAGCGAGTGCCTTTGAGATTCGTTTAAAAATAAATTTATTTTTTGTATAAAAATATAAATAAAAACTTTTTTAATCTTAGATAAAATTTTTTTTTAAAATGTGTTTAATAATTTTATCAAGAGATTATTTTTAGTATAATAAAACTCATTAATATGTCTCAAACTGCTCAATAAAAGAGAAAACATAAATAAAAAATGAAAAAAGATTAAATTTTTCTCTCATTTTATACTAAATTAAAAAAAAATTTATTTTTATTTTTTATTTTTAATTATATTAAACGTCATTCTAAAATTTTTTTTTTTTTTTCAAAAAACATGAAAAATAAAAAGAAGAAAATTTTAAACACGGCAAGCATGTCTCTCTATTTGAATAAATTAAAAATAAAAGATCAGAGCAACTCACGTTTTTAAATATGATGACGTTTTTCTGAACCAAACGACATTCACGACAACTGACATGTCGTTTTTGTGTCGGTAAAGCTACACGTAACGTATTCCTTTTCTTAAAAACGCTGGATAGAAACGAGACATGTCAATGATCTTTTTGATCAACTTGCGGTCTTTTCTTAAAGGATTAAACAAACAGTTCAATAAACTCCCACTGTCTATTGAACTCTATTATCCTTAACGAAGTTGATGACGTGGCACGTCACTAAAAACTAACTAAAAATATTAATATCTAATTAATTTTATAAAAATATTAAAATTAAAAAAAAATCTCAAACAAAAATTATAAAAAAATTAATAAAATATATCCCCTTCCCCAGTCATCCACGCTCCTTTCTTCTCCAAACGATCTAATAAAAAAAGAAAATATATCGAGTAATTTCAGAATCAAAAGAACCTGAAGTAGTTGAATTGGTGAGATGGTTAGATTAAGAACATATTAAATTCATTGATTCGAGTTTTTAATTTAAATTGGGATATGATTTTATGTGAGGATTTTTTCACTATAATAAAAGATTAAATATAATTATTTTTAAAAGCATATTAAAACTTCAATTTTAAACTCAAATAAATGAACGGAGCTTAAAAGCTTGATGACTCTTCTGAGTGATTTTGACTCTGGGTCAGATTCCGGGTACGATTTTGAGGACCATGCTGCACACGGTTTGAGTGGAAAGCATCGTCCATGAAAGCACATCATCGTCGTCGTAGAAAAATGGTCGGAGACCCACCGTCAGTGCCCTTCAAGATTCCCCAATAACTAAGGGCTTGTTCTTTTGAGTGAAAAATTAAAAAAAAAAAATAACTCGAGTTACAACTTTATTCGAGTTCATGTTCTTTTAAGTTTAAACTCAAGTTCAAATTCGAGTTTAGGACTAAAACTCGAGTTCAAGTTTCCCCTTTAACTCGAGTTCAGAAACTCGAACTCAAATTAATGAACAGTATTTTTTCTATTCTTAAAAATGCTATAACTTTTTCGTTTTAATTATGATTGAGATGATTTTTTTTTCTATGCGTTGACAACGAAAAGACGAATAAAACCCGACCCATATACCCTATTAAAATTTTTCATCAGCATTGAGTTTTTATTAAAATACTATCTAAATACAAATTCAAGTTTTGACTCACTCAAACATAAACTCAAAAAGATTCTTATCTCAAACCATACTCAAATGTACATAACCAAACACAAACTCAAGTTACAAGTTCAACTCAAGTTATAACTCAAATTCAACTCAAGAATTATATTCAAGTTAAACTCCAAAAGAACAAGCCCTAAATCTCGTTACATACCCCTCTCGACAATCTCCCACACAACTCCCTATCCCCCAGCCCAAATCTGGACATCCCTTCCTCTCCCAACCAATGTGATGTTCTCATATTTTGATTTCACTTTTTTTTTTCTTTTGTTTGAATGGTAGTAGCAGAACTAAGAACAGATTTGGATCTGTTTGGTTTTAATTTTACTTTTTTTCGTTTGATTTGTTTGGTTGTGTTTAATTATTTTTATAAAATTAATTAGATATTAATCATTTTAATAAATTTAATTAGATATTAATATCTTTAGTTAATTTTAAATAATATGTCACGTCACTAATTCTGTTGGAATAATAGACAAAATTAAACACATAAAGTGTTTTAAATTATTTTTTATTTATAAGTATTTTACTCTGTTTTAAAAAATCAAGAAACATTTTAAAATATGATACATATTTCAGAGATATTTATGAAAACAATCCTTCCTTAAAAGTGCTGGATAGAAACGTAGTTGTCACACATAAAACAAAGAGCTCTCATTTGCATGGAAATATAATAAAAATAACCTGGTTATTTATTATTAAAGATAAAGAAAAACAACATAATGTCGTTTTCAAACAGGAAGTGCAACAAGAAACGACATTTGCCTTTTGCTTTTCCTTGTACAGGTCCGTCCTTGAAGATTCTGCAAACGATGTGTTGTTGTTTATTGTAAAGCGAGGGTTCTCTTTTCTCTTTTAAACTTTGTTCACTTCGCAGATTTAAATTTTTAATTTGAGTTAAAATGTGATATTTTTTAAAACTTTTCATTATAACAAAAAAAAAAATTAGATGTAACATTTTCTGAAAGTATTTTATTGTAGAAACATAAAATTAAAAATTTAAATCGATAAAATAAACAAGATGTAAATGTATACGACATGCATTATTTTTGGAATAATGGATAAAGTTGACATGAAGAGCAAAAACTGATCAGCATCAGCTGACCCGCTGGAATAGTAGAAAATTTCATATATAATTACCAAGTGTAGAAACACATTACAAAATAAATACTGAATCATAATTGGAATGTAGTCGCAACAGCGACTATTATTAGTATACTGGATCACAAATTAAAAAGTCAACCGGTACATCCTCACAGCCAAATATATCTCATGAATACCAATTTATGACATTTTGCCTCTAAAGAACGAATATAACACATAGAAAGTGGTTCCTTGCAACACACCCCACAACGCACAACAGTGTAACAGCACCCATCTCTATGATTCTCGCTATAATAAGATAAAAACGGGGGTGAAGAAGATATACAGAAGATTGTGCAAAAGAACTTATGAGTTGCGGATCTGGGACCCAGCTAAAATATGAAGACCACACTGTCATGAACTCTAGACTTCTGGTTCTGAGCCACACACTCTGATATCCACATTAGGTTCCTGATCTCTTGCTCCCTCAATCTCATGTACGCGAAGAAAACGCCATAATGGAACTGCAGGGCCATGGGTAATTTGAGTGAGAAAAAAGAAGAGCCAGGAAAAGTCATGTCCAAGGCAAAAATCAAGGCGCCTCAAGATGAACTCTGATACGCTCTAATTATGTATGTAAATTGATCTGTTTTAGTCTATGCCACCGATGAGTGAGTAGGAAGCAGTATATGGCCAATGGCTGCTACTGCTAGCAACTAACACGTACCTGTTGCTCAAATGCCAAGCAATGCCTTTTCACCTCCTCTTCATAGAATGCCTTGTCAAGCATCTGGCTCTCTCCATAAGATAGTTTGGAGAAGATGGACTGATAAGGAGGATACTTTTCCATGACGGAACGGACCTGTAACAGCAAAGAACGGAAGCTTGAGTTGCAATATTAAGGAAGCTGGTACAAGTACAGAGACGGCATAAAAAAAAACCAATATGTCTTTAGTGTCAAATTACACAGAAGAATTTACACAGATTAGTGACAAACACCAAGTGAAATCGCAATTTACTAACAATTTCAAATTCTCCTCCTGCGAAAATTGAGTTCAACCAAAAGGGAAATATTAACTATAATTTTGCAAACAGTTTCCACTGGTTTAATGGTCTGAAACATGTCAAAGTTAATAACAAGTTAACAAGAATCGAATGTTGAGTTCAGACAGTGCAAACGCAAATAGGCATTTAATAGGGGTCCGTCCCTGCATGAAACATACCTGATCAATGTCCTCACAGACAGCAAGCTCCTCATGGCCGTAAGGATAACTGTTATAAAATAAGAAGATATCATCAGGATGATTCTCCAAAAAAAAAGGTCACTGATTCACTGTATACAATGTAAGAGAGAGCAGAGCTTACAGTAAACCAAAACTAGAGTACAGTTTCCTTCGATCATCTCGAGTAAGCTCAGTGCCAATGCTGCACACAGTGAACAGCATCAGTACTACGGAAAGACACTTGCCATTGAAATTTGAACATAAAAACAACCTACGAGGAGAATTGGTGAGGCAAAATTATTAACTCATCACCAACAATACCTATTTATGGTGATATTAACAGCCCTTCTGTCAGCCTCAAAAGCAAGTAGGTCAGACATGATCTCAGATGTGGCACCACCAAGTTTCTGTCAGAGAACAAATTGAGATGAATGAGAACTAGACTATACTGATATATATATATATATATATATATATTAAGAGATGCTTAATTCAACGCTCACCTGGCAAAACTTGTAAAAATCTTCAAGGTACGCCTTGTAAAGAGTATTTCTCATAATCTCAATGTTCATGTCATCCAAGTCCTTGAAAGGGAGAAATGTATCAGAAAGTAGAATAAAGTCAAAATAAACACCTAACAGGAAGAAGACAACAAGAAAAGGAAGAAAAGTAAGAGCAAGCAAGGCAAGACTGATAGTCTGTACCTCTGATGTAATGCACTCAGAGAAGTACGGAGCAAGTGGTGTATCAACTAGCACCAGCCTATAAAGCTCCCGCATATTCTGGGCAACTGCTAGGGTAGCAATGCTGAGGATAACATACAAATCTTTAGAAATAACTAATGAGAAAAAGTGGAAAAGGAACCAATAACACCTTTTGATTGTAAGACATGACAATTGAAATGCACCAAGGTAGGATGGCAATACCTGTCAAACATACCCAGTGGGTGGCATTTTTCCAGCAGTTCCTGAACATCTCTCTCGTGCAAGGTTCCGGTAACAATCAGGACAACATTGTCAATCATGTGACCATATCTGGAACAAGTATCAGAAACATATGAATTCCAAAAACTAAAAGACAGCCCATCTCTTCTTCAGGGAATTTCAAGCCTATAATATTATTACTTCACAGTTCATTCCCATACCAAAAACAATCAGGCACTTTAACCTCAAAACATTTTCATGGAAAAAGATGAATTAAAACCCAACTTCCAAAGCCCTAGAGTTGGCCTCAAACTTATATCAGGAAAAACCTGCCACAACCCCAGACTGCATTTGCTGAAACATATTCGATTTTGTTCTAACACATTCGATATTGGATTCTGATATTGATCAAACCACTTATATCTAACCAATTAAGTAAAAATGTAACAACTAACTATGTCAAAGTTTACTTACGTGATATACTCTAAGAAGGTTGAGAGGGGCTCAGTGGCTTGGCAAAGCATGTGCTTGTACTCATCAACCAGTTTAAGAGTGCACTTCTCCACAATTGTAGTTGTGTGCAGCGGAGATGGTTCTGCACGCCATTTAAAATACGCCAGAAAACAAAGATTAGCCATAGTGACTTCAGAAAAGCTCACTTGAGCGCGTGAACACTAAGAGCTTGTTTGGTTAGAGGATTCGTTCTCTGATTCGAATCATGGTTCATAGTTCACTACAGTATTTTCTCCCAAAAAAAACACACGTAAATCAAAAATATTCTAATCTCATGCTTCTAATCCAAAAACCAAAGCTCTAACTAATTTATCATTATAGCCCTCAAGTAAGTAAATCCAAATCACTTATTCGCTGGGTGGAGGTGGATCTAGCATCTTAACAATAGGCATATACCTAAACCAAACTTGAAATACTAAATTACATTATCAGTTTATAATGCTTGTGGTAACCAAACGGACTAAGAATCCAGCTGAAGATATCAAAAAATTCACACCAGACCAGTTAAATCCAAAATTCGCACTCCAATTTTTTCTCAGCTGGAAAAAACGAATCAAAATCGAAAGAGAGAAAGAAACGGAAAAGAAAATCGAGTTGAAATTGAACAAGAAGCAAAGGGCGATCGGGAAGAGGCAAGCACCATTTTGGAGGTAGGGCCCATACTCGGTGGCGGAGAGGTGCATCTTGATGTCGTCGAGGGTCTCGCACTGGCAGAGATTGTTGTAATCCGCCGCCGTGAGGAGCCCGGCTCGGTGTCCCCGGACGATGGCCTCCAAGTATCCGCCATGGATGTTGAATGTCAGAGCTTCGAATCCGTACATTTTTTGCTTCTCTCTCTGCACCCACTCAAATTTCTCGACGAAATTACGCGATCTGATCTGCGAGAGGTTTTTGATCTGAATTGGCGAGAATTGAGGGAAAGGGGGGATTTGGGGGAGAGAGACGTACGATATGTGTATGGTCCACTTCGGAAATTTCAGATACAGGGGAGAGGGGATTTTGTTGGTGTCCATACTCAATTGGGGGAGTATTGATTGATTTGGGCCCAATTGCTTTGTGGTTTAGGCTAAACCCTGGGCCCAAAACATTGCCAAGAACTTGAATAATTGTAGTAAATAGCGTTTTTAAAAAATTCACACATTTCCCCTAAAAAAAAAAAAAACACACACATTAAATTCATGAAAAGTCCTTAAACTTTCTTCTCTTTCTACCATTAGTCCCTGTACCAAAAAGTGTTCTAATTTAACCCTTAAACTCTTCAATTGTCTCAAATTCAGTCCTTCAGTTAAAATTCTTTTAAAATTTAGATGGAGAGCAAAGGTAGGCCCCGTTCATTTCGCTGATTCGAGTTTAGAATTCGAGTTTTACTACAGTAAAAAGTTCTCACAAACAGTCACATCTAACTTTTTTGCTACAGTAAAAAGCTCTCACATAAAATCACATCTCAATTCGAATTAAAAACTCGAATCAACGAACTAAACGGGCCCGTAATCTCGTAATTTGATACCAAATGATAAGCAATCTTGTAATTTAATAAAGGTTTTTCTTTGTTTATGAATTTTTTTCTTAAGGGAGCTCTATTTACCCTCCATGTATATTCTCCACACACACATTTCAATAAAATTTATTATCAAAAATGATCTTTACTAAAATTACATTCAAGTACAAAATGGTGAAAGAAAAATTCCTAATACATTTTTATAAGAAAAATATGAATGCAGCCTTCACGAAAGTCATCTTATTTAAATTGAAATTTGTTGATAAAAGCTCAAATGTTCTATGTATATATTGATCTTTCATTCTCTAATAAATTAGATATATGTTAGATGAGTTTTAGTTATTCAAAAAAGTAAAAAGGAAAAAAAATGTTTCAGTTCATATGTATGAAAAATTTAAATGTATGAATTTTTAATCATCCAATTTGAATAATTTAATAATTGAAATGACTATCAAGTCTTTTAATCATCTAATTTTATTAGTTATTGATAAATCTAATTGTATAAATTTTCTTATAAAATAAATTAGATTTTTAGTCTCTCTTTCGTAGTAAATGGTGGAAAGGGCATTCATCATTTTATTATATAGCTTAACTATCATTATTTTAACATTTTTCATCTAAATTTTAATAGAACTTTAAATAAGGGATTAAATTTGAGACATTTAAAAAGTTCATGGTTTAATTTAGAACACTTTTCATTACGAGTATTAATTATAGAAAGAGAAAAAAGTTCAAGGACCTCTCATGAGTTTAACTCTTTAAAATTTTAGAAGTAAATAACAGTAAAAAGATTATTTACCACGTAAATTTTATTTTATTTTTGATGAAGTAGATTTTCTATTTATGATTCATAAAAAGATTTTGTACAACATAAATTTTCTATTTACGACTCGTAAAAAGATTTTTTTATCACGTAAATTATTAATTTATTACTATTTAATTTAAAATAGTTTTAAAATTTACTATTTACTTCAAGTGTTTAGAGTAAATCTACTATTTATTCATTCTTCCTTTGAACTTTATCCAATTGTTCCCGTCAATTCATTTAATCCATTCAGATTGGATTAGATTAAAAAGATTTTTGTTTTCTTTCATGTTAATTTTGTTTATCTTTTCTATTATTATCACGACTGATTCTTTTGGGTTTTCTATGTGATTCTTGTGATATTGGTGAATTATGACAATTTTTTTTTTTTAGCATTCAGTGAAAAATATATGATCACATTGGGTGATATTAGTGTTGGATACTAGTGGTATCACAGTTAGATACTACATACTAGCAACCACTGACTGGCAACCGTTGGCGGTCGGTATCATAGTGGTTATCGATTGGTATTCACCAACTGGCAGTGGATATTAACTGGTATCGGTCGTGGATACCGATCGGTGTCATGTTAGATATCGGCTGATATCTTAAGAGTATGTTTAGTATTTTAAATATAGTGTGTTGATATGGCTGTGATATTTTCTGAAATAATTTATATTCTCTGACATATGTTAATCTAAGCATAAAATCTGTAGCAATTCCCTTTAAAGTCTTATTTGATCCCATTGTCCCTAAGTGTAAATTTGGTTTGATTGAGTAGGGGACTTGCCATACTTAAATTTTTCATAGAAGCGGTATAAATTCGAATGCCAAACATATAATTTTAGAAGAGTAAACTACGAATTTCATGCAATTTCACATATAAATTAAAAGAAAAAAATCATGTGGGTGTGGGTTAGCAACCTACTCTCGACTGTTGGTGGTTCCACCCCTAATTAGGTTGCCAATATCAGGTAATTGACCTTTAAAAGTGAATGTCAAGTACCAAAATGAGACAATATATCTCCTCACTTTTTTAAGACCCATTTGTCAAATGTATTTAGAGAAATTGTGGGAAATAGGCATCCATTTTTGTTTCAATCCTTGAGCTTTTTTGCTTTCTGAATCCTTGTTTTGAGTTTGTGTGTTTCAAGTTGTAAATCATTCTTCGTTCTGTTTCAATTTGTAAATCATCCTTCACTTCTTTTTTTCCCCCCCTTATTAGCTTTAATCGAAACAAAAAGGAAATAGCTTTTGGGTGCGTTTGGAATTGGTTCCAAAATGTTTTTATTTTTTGTATGAAAATGAAAACAAAAATGTTTTTATTTTCATTTTGGAATCATTTCTAAAAATGCGTTTGGTAGTTTTATTCAGAGATTGATTTCAGTTTTAAAAAAAAACTGAAACTGCGTTTGGTGGTTTAATTTTTAAAAACATGTAATAATATATTAAATAAATAATATTATTAAATATATTAAATA